AGGATCAGCACCTCCAAATCTGAGGCCATGGTTCTCAGCCGGAAAAGGGTGGAGTGCCCACTCCGGGTCGGGGATGAGTTCCTGCCCCAAGTGGAGGAGTTCAAGTATCTCGGGGTCTTGTTCGCGAGTGATGGGAGAAGGGAGCCGGAGATCGACAGACGGATTGGGGCTGCAGCTGCAGTAATGCGGACGCTGCACACTCCGTCGTGGTGAAGAGGGAGCTGAGTGTAAAAGCGAAGCTCTCAATTTACCGGTCGATCTACGTCCCTACCCTCACCTATGGCCACGAGCTGTGGGTAGTGGCCGAAAGAACGAGATCGCGGATACAAGCGGCAGAAATGAGCTTCCTCCGAAGGGTGGCTGGCCTCTCCCTTAGAGATAGGGTGAGAAGTTCGGCCATCCGGGAGGGGCTCAGAGTAGAGCCGCTGCTGCTCCACATCGAAAGGAGCCAGCTGAGGTGGTTCGGGCATCTGACAAGGATGCCCCCTGGGCGCCTCCTGGGTGAGGTGTTCCAGGCATGTCCCACCGGGAGGAGGCGCCGGGGCAGACCCAGGACACGCTGGAGAGATTATATCTCTCGGCTGGCCTGGGAACGCCTTGGTATTCCCCCGGATAAGCTGGAGGAGGTGGCTGGGGAGAGGGAGGTCTGGGCCTCTTTGCTTAGGCTGCTGCCCCCGCGACCCGGCCCCGGACAAAGCGAATGAAAATGGATGGATGGATGGAGATGGTACACTGCAGGTACGCCTGACAGCAAGTGTCACTGTTTCCTCTAGCGTGAGAGATAAGTTCCTCCTGTACTGGTAATGAACCAGTTAAATAAAACCTTGGTCAGGCCCGTGTGTCCACAACAGGTTCAGCTGCACTAGTTGCCAGGAGCCTTATCTCAGCTTCGGTGTCACCAACTGTGACGTCAGCGAAACAGCTGTCACCAAACAAGTGATATATGGAGTATAATGGACATTTTAATTTTTAAGCACCACATTTCTCAGGTCAAAAATAGGTCGAGCCCTGCTAATAATGGGATCGTCAAATGTGCCAGCTGCATTTGATCTCGCCATCCATTCGCATTATTTCAGTCACTCCTTAATTTACAGAGATTCTGGAGGTCAATCCAATCCGACATATTTCCGTGAACTTCTGAGACTCAGTTTGGTGTTTATTTTATTAAAAGTCTGCATTGGAGCAGGCTGCGGTTTTATGAGAATAAAATCTATATAACACTTTTGTATAATTGCAAATCACCAAAAGCTCTCATGTTGCCCAGAATTTCATGCTCGGTGTTGAAACTGTGTTTCAATCCCAGTCAAATGCTTATCAAACCGAATCTGTTTAAGTCATTTGTCTCACCATCTGTGGTCCAGGTAAAGACTTAACTATGGTTTGGGGTGAATACATGAATTCAAATGACGCACTTCCAATATCCTTTTATACTTTTAATAGCTTTGTGGGCAATGATGGTCAAAAGAATATCAGAAATAATTATCATTGAGTATTTATGGCCATACGTTAAAGTTACAGCTGAACAAAAAAAAGAGTTTTTACCTGATGATGGTGTTAATTAATACCTGAATCATCAAGCTATATTCTCCACACTAAGTGGATAATTCCAAAAAGCTGTGACCAAAAACTGCCCCGCCGGTGACGCCCAATGAGTTAGAGGATCTGCATGGTGATTCAAATTTAGTCAGAGGGTCCAAAGCGGTTGGTCTGCTTAGAATGAGCCGAGATGTCTGTTGGCAAAAAGCAAAGCAGTGACGTCATGATTATACCAGAAATCAGTCAGTGTTCAAAAGACTTTGTTTGTTTTTGGGGGGTGAGATGCACCATGGTCGAATTCACCTGTGTGAACACTGAAGCATGTATATGTGTCACTGACATGAAACTTGGTTTACGCTTTTATTCCCACTTTCCAACATTCTCAGTCCGTACGTCTCATTAAAAAATCACAGCAGTACTGCTCAGTATTTATTGTAATTCTTCTTTAGCTGTGTTTTGTAGCTGGTAATTATCCAAAGCAGATAAAACAATTCATTTTCAATTTGACTGAAATAAGTGGCCAGCCAAAGAGCAGTAATTCCCTTCTTGTTAACTTTAATAATATTTTCACCATTTCTGTTAATCTAAACATAGATTTAAAGGCCAGCACGTGCACATGTGAGCACCATTATGAAATATATAACAATATGACTCCTCGATAAAACACTACAATCTGTGATCATATATCGATTTTTAAAAATAGGTCTGTGTACGTTTGGTAAACAATAAAGACCCAGGATGTAATAATCGTGCTTTCTTGACTTTAGACTAGATTTTTTTAATGTAGTGAAGCATGAAGAATAAGACAGGACTGATGTGTTGGTGTTGTTGCACAGCAAATTACAGTGAGAGCTTCTGAAAAGCAACAACTTACACCTTTATTAAAGGACAGTGTGTTAATAATTACAGATGTGTTTGGTTTGATGTCCACACAAGCCTCTGCTGCCCTCAAAAGATCCTGGGCCGTTTCACAAAGACAGTTAATTCCAGTTCTTTTGGGTGATGTTCAGATACAGCAGAGCTTCAACAACATTTCCAGGGAAACAGGATGTAATGATTAGACCGTGCTCAGCGCCTCCAATCACGGGAGTTTCCAGGGTTTTTAAAATTTGCTGACATGAAGGGGATCAGGAGAAAGGTGGGAGGGGAGGCAAAAATCAGAACTAAAATTAAACTACAAAGTACACTATTTGCACCTAAAATATAGTGGAAATGTGGCATTACATAGAAATACTTTACGTTCAATACGTGAGTAAATGCACTAACTTGTTACTCTGTTCCTATACATCAGGGGTGTCAAACATAAGGCCCTGGGGCCAGAATTGGCCTGGCAAAGACTCCAACCGGATGGCACTGGAAAACTTTATGTTCATAAGTTTTATAACATTTCCCACTGATAAAGATCTCCCCCATGGCTTCTGATATTACACTGAAATAATTATTTAAACATTCATAGACTAACGCAAAGGACCGTTTCTTTGGCCCATCCCACTTAAGATCAAAGTGGGCTGTACGTGGTCCGTGCTATAAAATCATTTTGACATCCATGCTGTACGTGCTCTCATTCATTGGGTATTGTAAGATTAACAGTACTTTACTTTTTGCCTCCAAATGTGAGGACACATTAGAGCTGTGGCCTTCAGGTTGTTAGTGCTCATGCAGCGGCAACCCCTGAACCAGATGGTGTACACCAGGGGTAAAAAGAGCCATCAGGCTGTAGAGGAGTCTTTTTCACTCGGTCAGCTTGTGGGACTCTGCAGGCAGCTGACCAGCAGGCCAAGCGGGCTGTGGCTTCAATGGTTGTCAAAGCAAAAACTCAGGCGTGGGAGGAGTTCAGCGAGGTCGTAGAGCTACGCTTTGGGTCAGCCTTGAAGAGATTCCAGCAGACTGTCAGACAACTCAGGAGGGGGAAGCAGCTTTCAGCCCACACGATGTACAGTGGGGATATTGTTCTGCTTATCTCAACTGAGAATATAGTCAGGGGGTGGAAGGAATAATTTAAGAATCCCTCTGCCTTTTACATAAATTATCTCTTGACAGGCAGATACACAAAAAGATGGGCATGCTTTACTGCTTTGATATGTGACTCGATTACTTCGCTAAGGTTTCTCAAGCTGCATCTTGAAGCAAAGCATGTCTTTGAGGGCTCTGCTCAGCTATATGTTCAGTGTGAGTGCTTATATCACCAGATGTCCAGATGGTGGTGCACTCCACATCAGTAATCCTTTGCTACACGTCTGCAAAGTAAGGTAAAGTATTGATTAAACTGCTAAAAAAAAAATATCCCTGTGTATCAAAACTAAATGTTAGGAATTGTTTTCCAAAATAATCCTTTCATGCATCCCAATAGCTTCGGTGTAAATGTGTGGCTCACTGGATATACGAAGAAGTCTCCTTCACTCTCAGTCTGCACCCAACAAGCTGTGTGACTCCACTGAGGGGGACACAGTACCAGCTGACACTGGCAAAGTGTGTTTACTTTGCAGGAAAGGAAGAATAGAGGAAAATGTTTTGCTATTAGGTGCAGAACACAAAGCGGCCCTGCTCCAGCTGGTCAGAGAAGAGAAAAGGTCAAAAATCCTTCCAGAGTGTCGAGGTGCTATCAGCAAATTGAAAAAGAAATTAACTAAATTTTCACCAGAAGCTGAACTTCTGGATGAAGTGTTGTTGAAATTCTCATAATACATAACTCCCACCCCCACCAAGACATTGTAGACCTACATATGTTTTCATGTAGGTATGAAAACAGGCAAAGTTGCCATTGCCCCGTTAGATCTAATCTGAATCCGTGTTTTTGTTTGTTTGTTTGTTTGTTTGTTTGTTTGTTTGTTTGTTTGTTTGTTTGTTTGTTTGTCATTGATACACTAATCTGGAGCTGTTCCGCTCCCAGTGAGCTATTTTAGAATAAAATAAAAGCTTGCTGTGTATTTGATATTCTGTTATTCAGTAGAAAACATCTGCATACATGCGTGTGTACGTGTGAGATTAAAACACGCGCACTGACAGTAATGTGGGCTATACTTTAAACATATAGATCTCCTACGTTGCTAAGAAACCACATGTCTCCATTGTTTTTGATCACTGAATTGTGGCTTCCACTAATTAAAACGAGTGAAAACGGCAACTAATTGGTTCATCGCACGCAGATGTCACGCTCTGTAGACGCTGTTTCCTCTGCGTGTTTTAACCGTGTCATTCAGCTGCTTTCTCAGCGGGAGGCTTATAAAAGCTTATAAAACGTTTTTAAAATCAATTTGCTCATGACAAAATCCTTCTGCTATAAATTCTTCTTCTACGCCTGTGAACTTTTGAAATTTCCTGAACACGATCTTGAGAGCGAGCGAGCGAGAGCTGTGCACGTCATCACTGGGGGAGGCACCAGAGGGCTGGGTTAGAGGGAGTAGTCGGGAAGCAGGAGAGAGGAGCGCGCTATAAGAAGAGAGAGCCCAGCAGGAGCGTCAAAACATTTAAAGCAAGACCGAAAGGAAAACGCCAGCGCGCTCAGAATGAAGACTTGAATCTCGAGAGAATTTTATTTTTGTTTGTTTGTGTTTTTCATGTAAGGACTATTTCAGGAATCTGCAAATATTAAAAAACCAGGAAAGAAAAGAAAGTGCCGTCCGGCGTCGCTCTCCGTGTGTGTCAGCGCGCTGAGGTATCCTGGATGAGCGCAAAGTGTCAGCTTCAGCACCCGAGGAGAGGACAGCTCCGCTCTGTCTGCTCCTTTTTGGACCTCCAGTCCAAAAACTCTCCTTCGGCTTCTGATGTCCACACTTGGAGTTTGACACTGTGCGCCCCATACAAGCCGGGAAGAAGTGTAAAAGGAAGATCCAGTGACGGAGAGAGCCGCGACCGACTGTGTGCTCAATATGTACCAGGGGCATTTACAGGTAAGGAGGCAGGATGTGCACGTCTCAATTAAGATGGAAAACGAAATGTTGCAGTTGTGATGGAACAAATGAACAAGATTTGGATGCATTTGTAGTTCATGTTAAGAGCTTTTCTGTTTTGTTTTGTTTTTCATTCCTTGTGGGTTTAGTAATCTCGAGGCACTGCTGTTTCGATGTTGACGCCGTATTTACCTGAGAGACGTCTGCTGATGCGGGCCCTTCAAGTTTTGGGGGGGAAATTTGCTCAAAGAGGCTGTTAATACGTGAATTTAGTCCAGCACTCGAGTCTGCTACAGCCTTCATTAGCTGCGGTTATCACCGGGGAGACGGAGGGAGTGAAGGGCACTGTGGCGCGCCAACTGCAAGTGCAGGTGCGTGCCAAAGGTAAACAGGAGGCAAACCTCGTCTGTTTAACCAGGCAGCCCGTGACATCGCAACAAATCACTCGCGTGACGTCACGCAATTTGACGTCAATTTTCAGTCAGCTCTTAATAAGAGCCTGAAACTCATCTGAGACGTTAAAACGAGGCGAGCTGACGACGATCAGCTTTCTGACTTCAGCAGAGACCGGAGGGTTACAGTGAGCAGCTTCCAACAGCTGCATGTGTGGCGTGCGGTACAATCACACGCTGTCACATAAACAGTAACCCCCTCCTCTGCGGTTAATGTTAGCCTCTGCTTTGCTTTATAAACATGGAGTGAAATTTACACGGCTGCTTGACAAAGATACATTCGTTTCCAGACAGCTGATTATGTAATAAAAGACCAGCAGTCCTGAGTCAGTACTCGGGAGCTTTGAAGACCAACATTTAATATTTCATGATATATTACTCAAGCAGCGGTATTCATTGAAAATGCCAACAGTTCTTGCCTGGATGACCACGGACGTGTTTGTTATGGGAGGGTCAGCGGAAAACCTCAGAAACTGGATGATTTTTTAAAAAGGAGAAAATCACGTGCTTTGAATCAAAGTTTTCTCTGTTACATTCATGTTTCAGTTGTCAGACACTTTCTGTGTTTTTCATCACATGCACGCAAGTCATTACACTCTGTGCCATGTTTAGATCACAGCTGTAACAAAACACTGTGCTTTCTAAGAGATTATACGGAAGTTATTTAGCAGCAGTGAGTAATGGGAATATTTTTGCTTTGACATCCGCTTGTGTAAGGGATACATTTATTTTTCCATCCCTTTCTCCTTGAAGTAAAGTGTTTGCTTCTGGGAGAGCATATGAAATCTGAGCTATCTAAATCGGTAACACTATCAGACTCTTGTCGGAGAGACACTGGAACTGATAGCATGGCTTCTTTGGGCATAAAGGAGGACTGTTTTTCCTCGAAGAGAAGAGGCTAATATGCACATTTGTCAGCGCTTTTTTGCAGAAATTAATCAACGTGGAACACTTTTAGAGTTGTTCGCTCTTCATAACGGTTTAAATTGTATCACACACAGTCAGTAAAACATGAAGTGCACGTCCGTTATGTTTGCATTTTCATTTTTGCATCAAGCATTTCACAGGCCTAATGTGACCTCCAAATTTATGCTGGAGGTGGAAATCACTGGGCGTAATGGGTCGCCGGAATTTCAAGTGAAGCTCACACTGCACACACTTTGTGATGCATTACTGGGATAGGAAATCCGTCAGTCAGAGCTATCAGATTTCCTATCCCAAAGTAGCTACACTTGTAAGTTCTCCTTTATTACACAATTGTCAGTCAGCACGATTTGTCAGCTTATGAATGTTGCAGCTCAGGAGGCAGCTGGCTGGGGAGCGAGATAAGAATGTCCAGTTTCCATCTTACCATTTCTTATTTGATAACCTTCTCCTTTCCCTGCGACCTGGATAAGCGGAGCATGTGCGGGCCAGTGTGCAGTTTAATCCAAGGCTTTCTGTATTTCCATAAACACATTTTGCACAAGTGCAGGGGATATTCACACAATGAAACATTATTGGATGAATCAAATATTTTGGCCTGTGCATGGTCTCATGATTGATGCCAAGTGTTGGTTGGCTGTTGAGGATTGTGGTCTGCAGAGAGCTGCTGGCAGAAATACAATGCTGGACTTGTGTCTGCTATTTTTTTCCAGTTATTCTTTTTCCCCTAAATGAACCCTAAACACATGGGTAATGATAACACCCAGCATCCAGGCAGTTACAAATGTGTGTTTGCGTGTTATGGTATAAAACGTGACATCGAGAAACGTTTTACCTTTAAGAGAAGGGTAAACCAAAGGTGTGTAACAGCTGCTCATCTTTATCAAAAAGCTACAAAACATACTGTTTCTGTTACTTCCCTGCATATTTCACTTGTATACAGTAGTACATTTATTAAAGTTTAAGATTTAGTACACCCATTCTTCATCAAACTACATGAGAACATTTCAATTTGTACACTGCAATCGCTGAATTGGCTTTAGCTGCTTTGGTATTCGTGTTTACAGTATATCTAATTAGTGCGTGTACTGTGTGTATAAAACATACTGGCTTAATGGAAGCGACGCTCCAAGGCCTTTAGATGTTTGCTCTGTTAAGCGCAACATGATTACGTAATTTGATTACCATTTTTCAAGGCCCTCGGGGAGCATCTCAGATGGATGCTTTCGCTGATCAGAAGTAGATCAAGTCTCTTAAGATCACAGTCATTCACATCAATATTGTATTAGACGTGTACTAGATTTACTCATACAGTTTGCTGTCTTGGGTGAAAGCTTCTTAGTTTGCATTTCATTTCCTTGTCTTTTATTTGTCACAGCATGGCGCATATCTTTGTATTTTTGGGTTCTTCTCAGTGCAATCAGCCAAAAGCTTTTCTCAGAGCTATATTCATGTATTCAAATGCAAAGAGTATTTAGAGCATTTAAAAGTAGAATGGGAGGCAGAGCCTTCAGTTTTCAGGCCCCTCTTCTGTGGAACCAGCTTCCAGTTTGGATTCAGGAGACAGACACTATCTCTACTTTCAAGATTAGGCTTCAAACTTTCATTTTTGCTAAAGCATATAGTTAGGGCTGGACCAGGTGACCCTGAATCCTCCCTTAGTTATGCTGCAATAGCTGCTGGGGTTTCCCATGATGCATTGAGTTTTTCCTTTCCAGTCACCATAGACCACAGACCTCTGCACTGAATCACACTTGTTATCAATCTCTGTCTCTCTTCCACAGCATGTCTTTATCCCGTCTTCCTTCTCTCACCCCATCCCTAGCTTTCTTCCTGTTAAAAGGGAGTTTTTCCTTCCCACTGTCGCCAAAGTCCTTGCTCATAGGGGGTCATATGATTGTTGGGTTTATTGTAGGGTCTACCTTACAATATAAAGCACCTTGAGGCGACTGTTGTTGTGATTTGGCGCTTTTTAAATAAAATTTAATTGAGTAAAAATAAATTGTGGTAATCGGATGACCTGTATATCCTATTAAACACAAATATTAGAATATTCAAATATAACTACTCTGAAAATTTAAACAATGCTTAGTGGATAAAACCTTTTGGAGAACTTAAAAATATTAATGAATCAACAGATTCAGAAAAAACAAGGGAGCATACAAGAGCGTCAGGGTATCACAACCCAGCAAGAGAACGTATGCAAGCATGCATGTAACATCCTGAAACACCCTTTCATCGGTCGGAGCTGTGCAATCAATCAGGCTGTACTTCATGTATGTTAAACTCTTAATGTTGTTGTTGTAAGGTTTTTATCAGCGCCTCTCCCACAGCTGTGGCGGTCAGCTTGAGGGACAGCAGAGGACTCCCGGAAGCTTTTTCCACTATTTTAAAGTCTCCTTGATTTAATGAACCATGGTCTTGATTAAGAGCCATTTAATAGGCCTGACTATTTCAGGAGCCAGGATAATGAGTGAAATCAGGTGGCATCCGGCTGGAACAAAAGCTCCACAGACAGTACTGCTCTCCTTGTTGAAAATATGTAGCGGGGCTTGAAACCTGTAGACGTCCTAACTACTGTAACACTTACAGACCGTTACATTATGGATGTTCAGGAGATTAGCAGCCCCTCAAACCCTGAACATTTATTATTCACCATTTATTTTTTCTTAAGAGTCTCAGTGGTTGTTAAAATCATGGTCTCTCTCACTGTCTGATGGTATCAGGGCATTCTAACTTTTCAATATATATGAGACTACTGTCTTATAAGGTGGCGAAGTTGGCCATTCAGGAGAGACACAGAGTAGAGTCGTTCGTAGGGACTGAGATGAGATGTTTTGGCTTCTGGATTTCTACTAGCTAAGGTGTTGATGGTATGTCTGCCTGGAAGGAGAACCCAAGGCAGACTCAGGACATGCTCGGGATTATATCTTTTGTCTGGCATGGGAATGCCTGGGTGTCCCAGATGACTTAGAGAAGGTAGGTGGGGAGAGGGAGGTCCGGGCATGTCTGCTTTAAATGTTTCCCCTGCAACCTGGACTCATAGGAGTGGCAGAAGATGAACGGATAGATGGATGGAGGCACTGGGGTCTGAACTTGCATTTAAACTTCCCTTATTTTTACTTCCACTTATCAAAACATCAAAACCAACTGCAGTATCTTGTCTATGTACTCCTCGTGTCCCCAGAACATCTCTGATTTTTCAGGGCTTAGAGACAGGTCCTCCAGGGACAGCAGATTTTTGGGTCCTGTTTGTTGCTGGGTAGGGACTTCATGAATCCACTTGTGCTAGTGCAAATGGTTTATTGGATTGGTATATGCAGAAATTGGAGGCTGAGTGGTGTCCTCGAGCTGTTCCTGAGCAGTGTTTGCAGCGTAGTGGGGTGCACTGTCTTTCTTGGGGACACAGCTGCTGTTAGGCCAGTGCCATCGCCACCATGTTTTTTTCTTTGCATGTATTGGGTAAAAAGGTTCATTTAAGTGGTGCTACGGCCTTACGGACTAATTTACATACATTTAGATAGAAGTACTGCTTTGAAGCATTGTCCTGCTGCATATTCTGTGAAGTCATGCACAGCTGTTCTGTGCCATGAACACTAGTTTAACATTTGTGGTATTTAAAGT